CCATTTCTATCACCCCCAGCCATCGCTCTGATAACAGTACAAAATAATCGACAAAGAAACCAACAGCTCTTGAAAAAAGTAATGAGCATTGTTGAGCTGGGCAAATAGGTTTGACCGTACTGAAATCTCATTCGTCTGTGGTTGGCTTGTAATGTGCTCTGGTTTGGTTTGCTTCTTCTTTCCTATCAAACATCTGTCGTTCTTATCTCCCCTCCTTCTTTTATGTGTATGTTACTCTCTTGTAACACGTAATCTATTCATCGGTCCTTATATGACCTTAGCGTGTTGCAAGTGCCGTAGAAATTTACTAAAACTAAAAACTGAAATCTCGTTCAAAACAGCCCGCTGCTATGACGTGTTATCTGTGGGTGCGCCATTAGTTCAGTTGGAGTTATGCCGGACTACAGAGCAAATGACTCTTGTTCGAACCCCAGGCAAGGCGTTGTTGAGCTCGGGTCGTTTTTGTGGAATTTCCAAGGCTCTCAGTCCATTTGGCATCATCGCATCATAGACGGGCGTTAAATTCGGAGTAGTGAGGTCCTGCCCCTTTATCCAACTTGTGTTGCTAGGCGCGTTAAATCCGTACACGTACGTTTACTGTGTATCGGACCCATGTTTCTTTGTTGAAATCACTTGGCTTTAATTTCATGGCAAGTAGGACGACCACAAAGATAATGGATACCGAGGCCTCTTGCCATTTTTAAACGATCATATAACTACTTTAACCTACGTGCCAGCGAATACCCATCCTGCCACAGCGACCCATGCCCCCAGATTCACCCCCCACCCCACCCCTTACCCTTTCGCTTCGTCTCAATCGTGAGATATTACCAATTTTAATATTTCGAACAGCAGCGAAAGAGAAAGAAAGGGAAGGGGTATGGTGGTGGTAGAGTTTAGAGGGGTTGGATAAGAGGCGGGTGGAAAAGAGGGTTGGGGGGGGGGGGAGAGGAGGTCGATTGATATTTCCTCATCTTGGGGCTTGCTAATTCAATCAAAATTGACTTAAATAATTTTGAATTGCGCCATTACTTGCATTAGTTCGATGGCTGTAATTTGGCGGCAATTTGGCGGATTGTGTAGACACGAGCAGCCTCCCCCCAAGAGTTACCGTTGTGCCGAGAAGGCCGACGCACGCCGGGATCTGGGGAGAGGGAGAGATGGGGCCGCCTTTATCCGCCAAACGTGTAATTATCCCTTAAAGTAAAGTGGCGGGGGCTCCGACTTGTTTTCCTTTACACTATATTATTTGTATGCAGACATTCAGCTTTGTGCGGAGCAACACTGTTGGCTGATTAATTATTTCGTTATTTTGCTGTTTGGCGTGCATTTACCTTCTCGTCTTTGCCTCATCCTCTCGGGGCCGACTTTATAGGCTTCCTGGGTGCCTGTTGGGCTGCACATGGCGTGCGATCGGGAGGAGGTCTCGTTGTATTTTCCGGGTTGTCCCGCAGTTCAATACGAGTGTTATTTAGTTATAATCTCCTATCAACACCCCTTTCGCGCGCGCGCACGCGCACACGCACGCACACGCATACATACATACATACATACATACATACATACATACATACATACACG